GGGCTGGGAGAGAGGAGCCAGCCCTGGGCTGGGAGAGAGGAGCCAGCCCTGGGGCTGGGAGAGAGGAGCCAGCCCTGGGGCTGGGAGAGAGGAGCCAGCCCTGGGCTGGGAGAGAGGAGCCAGCCCTGGGCTGGGTGAGAGGAGCCAGCCTGGGGCTGGCAGCAGCCCCTCACAGCCACTGAGCCCTCTCTCCTGGACAGGGGGACAGCGGGAGTCCCCTCGTCTGCAAGGACAACACAGCTGACTACTTCTGGCTCGTGGGCATGAACAGCTGGGGAAGAGGCTGTGACAGAGCCAGGCACCCCGGGATCTACACCTCCACTCAACACTTCTACAACTGGATCCTGCTCCAGACGGGCCTGAGCTCAGCAGAAAGAGCTGGTCCAGCACCAGAGTCAGACATCACCTCAGTCCCTGAGCAGCGCGTGAAGCCAGAGGAGCCAGAGGAAGACATCAACTTGACCCCTGAGTACAGCCAGAGACCAGCGGTGACATCCTCAGGCACATCACTGCCTGTGGCATTCCCACACCAGATCCTGGTGCAATTCTGGAATCTGCTGCAGGAGTTCCTGCAGTTTCTGAACGACAAAAAAGCTTGAGCAGCAGGGGGATGAGCAGGATCCAAGGCTACAGTGGACCACGGCATTTCCTACTGAGCCAAAGGTAGCCTTGGAGCCAGAGGCTTCTCTGTCCTGCCCATGCTGCTCTGCTGCAGCCACAGCAATGCTGCCGTGACTGAGGTGTTGAAGTAAAGTTTCTGTGTTCACCATTAACCGTGCTTACAGCTCTGCTCAGTGCACCCACAGGGTCCCTGCTGTCTGTCCATCTGCTGTGCTGTTCACATTCATTCTTCAGCCTGGAGAGGGCTCCAGGGAAACCTCGGTGCCCCTTCCAGTGCCTGAAGCAGGTTATAATAATGGGGGAGAGTGGCTTTTTGCATGGGCAGGTTGTGACAGGACAAGGAGGAATGGTTTAAATCTAGAGGAGGGGAGACTTGGATAAGGTGTCGGGAAGAAGTTTTTACTCATGGGGTGGTGAGGACCTGGCCCGTGCAATGCTCAAGGCCAGGTTGGACGGGGCTTGAAGCAACCTGGGATAATGGAAGGTGTCCCTGCCTATGGGAGGAGGTGGAATGAGATGACCCCTAAGGTCCCTTACAACCCAAGCCATTCTATAATTCTACAATTGCAAGTTATAAAATAGAATATTGAAAATTTATCCTCTTTGTCACCACCAAAGTTTTCAAAATCTGAAGGTCCAGAGGGCAGATTATTTCATCCATCATGTCTGTCTTATGACAGGGTGGATTTTCCTCTGGTGCTCTTGTTCCTTGCCCTTGTTCATAAAAGGATCTTAGACTAAGTGACTAACTGTTAACAGACTAAGATTAACTGATGTAGGTCCATCACCACTAGTTGCCTCATTCCTCCCGAGATCACTAAGCTTTCCTTCTTCAACACTGACACTGTCATTTCCCGCTTAGTTCTCACACCTCTGTGACTGTATCCTCCTTGACTCCATTTCAGAACCTTGGAGCAGAGAGTAAAGCTGAATTTTCCCAGCGTGCTATGAACCCAGATTTCTTTGTCATTAAGAATACAGGCCTGCAAGCATAGGCTGAAATGCACATGGATCAAAAGTATGCAAAAGTGAGGGCCATTGCATGCTTATAGGAATTATGGGAGCTACTGTTTTGTACCGGCAGTCACCTGTCACAGTGAGAAACACTACCCACCCCTTATGCCAGCTTCATGCTGCACCTCTCAGCACCAAGGAGCACCACAGACATTGCCTGCCCATGCAGTGTTAATTTCAACTGCCAAATACCTGGAAATTACTCCTCTGTGAATGCTATAATGATTTCTATTGTGTCTGATTCCTGTGGTCTCCACAATCTCATACAGCTATATTTTTGAATAGTAAGAACATGTAAGAAGAATAATGAAATTAGCATTTTGCTGGTTAAGCAAGGCCAAGTCAAATAATAGGCAATAAGGAATTTTCAAAATTCAAAGATAAACTTGCACGAGGTAGTTAGATAATCAGATGTATCTGCGTTTATGTCATCTATGATATTACCTGTACACATTCGTTTGCTCCTTACATTTAGCTATTTTACATTAGCATCCCTTGGCAGCTTTCCACACCAATGTTAGCAAGAGAAAATGTTTGCAAGAGAATATTTATGTTCTTTATGTTTGCAAGAGAAAGACAAAGACTCTGAAAGTGCAGGAGTTGAATCACTTCTAAGCAGCACAAGACAGTTAATTCCTTGCTGGAGAACTCACCTTGTTCATATCAAACGTGCGGAACATCTGCTCAATGTACTTATTGGCCTCTGGATCCAGCCCTCGAAGCCCAAAGAACTGCTTAAATTCATGCTCTGTCAGCTGTCCAGAAGGACACTCTGTCATGAATTTCTTGTACCAGTGGTGGATCTCAACAGCCTGTAGATCATCCACTGTGGAGCTGCTGTTGTTTCCCATATGTGTTTGTGGTCAGAAGGATGATGCTACAGGAACGATCCTCTTCCTCCTGTGGCTCTCACAGCACTGCCCATTTGCTCCTGTCCGTGCTCAACAGTAATGTCAGTTACGTGAGGGATCTAACTTTCTGCAAGCCAATTAGAAATGTTAATCTTCTTAGAGGCTGATCCACAAACCATAAAGTTGCAATGATACAAACAGTCTTCTTAGAATGGAAAGGAGATGCAAGATAATCTAGCAAATCACTGCTGTTTTAGGAACTAAAGCAGAAAGGGTGAGAAGGTTAATCAGACACTTGCATTGGGAGCTATACTGGTTTGGTAGACTACCCTATTTTTAACCTTGATAGAGTTATACATGAAGATAAGAGGAAATGCCCACAAGATGTGGGTTGTGAGGTTAAGTAAAGATTTGCTCCCCTAAGTGGGTTTGAGAGTCTGTTTTCTCAAACAGGCATGTTGAATAACAGAATATGTAGGACCAGAAAGTGTTGCAGAAGTGGCCCGGTACAAGAATGAGGACATGTGGGAAAAAGTTCACCTCCATGCACACAAAGGAGCACAGAGGAACACTGGGGAACCCAAATAATCCCCTGGTTTGGCAAATCCGAGAACCACCAAAGAAGTACAGTCAATCCATGAAAGACTCAATGGCACAAAGGGGGAAGAGCAAAGAGAGACAACCGCAGGCTGGGGAACACAAATTACCCAGTGAGAAAAATAAAGGCCCTGTCCCAGATCCTTCTAAATCTGTCACAGGGGAGCCATAAGTCCCATTGGCTTAGAGGTGGCAGCCATCATCATGAGTCAGTAGGAGAGGTTGTAGAGTACCCTACAAACTGAGTACTGCCTAGGGGCATGGAAAACACTGTGAGGTGCAGGGCAAGAGCATCTGGGGACTCACAACAGGATGTTTAGGGGAGTAACAGAGGGTGGGGAAAGGGATGTGTCTAGGTGGTTTGGGAATGAACAAGCAGGAGAAAATGGAGGCAAGGGGAATAGAAGGGGTTGGTTGCATGTAGAATGGTGCTAATCAGTATGAATGTCTATCCATACCTTGTGCCTGGTCATCACAGTCTTTCCTGTCTTCTAACACTTCTATCTCTTTCTTTTTATTTTTTTTTTTTTCTTCTGGCTGCACAGCACTGTGCTCTGGGCGTATGTATGCATGGGAAGCTGTCAGCATCTGAGTCTTTCACTGAGAGGAATGTGATGTTCTTTTGAATGGTTTCCTCATTCTCTTTTTTTAATTTTTCCTTTCTTCTCTTTCCTTCCACTTAGACTCACATACATATGTGTTAGAGTTGTAAATATCTCATTCTGCTTAGAATAACTGCTTGCTATTACTACCAATATTAGCCCATGGTTGTACCATGCAAAGATAGATAAGTAAAATTAATTAGCCATAGATACCTGGAGAAATTGCTCTCATAGTAAAGTGAACAAAGTGAAGTAAACAAAGCTGCAGGCAGGGCATGAAAAATTCAGAGCACACCTGGCAAGCCTTGGTCTTGGGGCCCTGTGAGCTATGGACAGAGCCCGTGGCCACAGCAGGACAGCACTACTGGTGCCATCAGAAATAGGAATACAGTGCATCTGAGTGCACAATGAGGGCCAGGAGACAAGGAAACCGTGCTGCTCAGGCTTCCTGAACTCTTGCCCTACATCTGGCTGGGGGCAACCTCTGGTACCAGTACAGACTAGGAAATGAATGGATCAAGAGTTCTGAGAAGGAAAACAAAAAAACTGGACTGGCAAAAAACTGGGGCTGGTAGTGTGCACATCCGCAGCAGCTGAGGGGGACGATTCTGTCCCTCTGCCTCACTCAGGTGAGACCTCAGTTGCAGAGCTTTCTCCAGTCCTGGAACCCTCAGAACAAGACAGATCTGGAGCTGCCGAAGCAGGTCCAGAGGAGGCCACGGAGCTGTTCCAAGAATTGGAGCCCCTCTGCACTGAAGACAGGCTGGGAGAGCTGAGGGTGTTCAGCCTGAAGAAAAGAAGGCTCCGGAGAGACCTTATTGCAGCCTATCAGCATGTAGACGGAGCTTAGAAGAAACACAGAAAAATATTTTCGTGCCGAGAGCCGTAGTGCCGGAGCAAGGGACAACATGCGTGCGGATGCGCACGAGCGCAGGCTTGGACAGGGTATCTCCGAAGCTGTCAAAGCCGGGTTGGACGGGGCCTGGAACAACCCAGCCTAGTGGGAGGTGCCTATGGCAGGGGGGTGGTCATCCTTTGAGGTGGAGCATCCTTAAAGGGACGTTCCGACCGAATCACTGGGCACCACTTCGAGCGCAGCCCGGCAGGGCCTGAGCGGGAGCCTGAGTCCCCGAGTCCCCGCGGCCCCGCCCACTCCGAGCCTCCGTCTCGCCAGCACCGCCGGCCCGGCTCGAAACGCCGCAACTGATTGGTTGCTGCCTTGTTATTGGGCGGGAGCCCAAAGTGTCCTCGGGATTGGTCACTTAGTGCCATGTTGCAGGACAACCATGGCGCCGAGGCAGCTGCTCCGTCGCGATTGCTTGGCCGTCACGTCTATCTTTCAACCGTCGCAGCTGATTGGTTCTTCCACGCCGGGGCGGGGCCCGGGCGGAGGCGGAAGTGGTGGCGGCGCGTTCCGGTGCTGAGGTGGCGCGGTGGGAGCGGTTCGGTGGCGGTGGGGTTGACGGGGGCTCCTCGGCAGGTTAAAGCCGCCCCTCGGTGCTGATCGCCCTGCTATGCTGCAGGTCAGTACCTTCCCCCCGCTCATGGTGCTGTCTGTCCTCCCTGTGCGGACTGCGGGCTCTGCCTCCCGGCTCTCAGCGGCTGCCGCCGGCCGGGGTCCTTTCGTGGCTATGCGGGGCCGGAACGGATTCGCAGCTCCCTGAGGCTCGGGCCGTAGGGGGCAATGGGCCAGGGCCTCTCTTCTCGCTCCGGGCTTTGCGGCCCGGCTTAGTTCCCCCACGCGGGTGGGACGCTGCCGGCGGTGGCCCCAGGTACCGGGAGCACAGCCCGGCCGGGGGAGGTTCACAGTCTACGGGCCCGCATACCGGAGGCATGTGGTCTGGTAAATTTGCGGGGCTGCTGGGGCCTGGCGGCGCTGCCCACCGGAACCCAGTACGGCGCTCCAGTGCTCCCCGTCCCTCCTGGTTTCTCTTGCAACCCCTCTGCGCAGCGTGAGAAGTTTGCCCCCGGGCTTGTGTACAGCGGCAGTGTTTTTAATGCGTGTTTGATTTTAAACGAAGGAAAATGCAAGGAATTAACTTCACTTACGTATAATAAACTTAGAATAAATTAGGGAAAAACATTGTCAAGTCTTTCTTTTTTGTGGCTGATATCTAGGAATAGAAATGCCCTGCTTACTGCAGACTGTGCAGACTAGCAGTGTCCTTAGACTGTTTGGGTCAGGGATGTGTATTTCAGAGGAAAGGAACCTCCTTCAGATCACTCCTGGTAATTCCAGTGTTCAAAGTAAAGTCTCCACAGCAAAAGTTCATTAGTCACAGGTAGGCTGAGCAATGGTAGAGGATCCAAAGGTAGAGGCTTGCGTCCTGAGCACAGCGAGGGTCCTTGTGTTCTGCTGTTCGTTACAGAGGTGGGAATCTGTATGCCAGTGTGAGCCTGGGAGAGCTCCAGTCTTGTCTCTGAGAGCACTGTTTGCTTTATTGGGGTGAGGCAGTGGAACACTCTGGCCTTTTGTGTTTGTGAGGAAACTGGTTGGCATCGAATAACACCTGGATATTCCTGTGACAAGTCCTTGAGGCTAATGCACAGGACAGCCACCACCCTCTGTGCAGGCTGTTGTCTTTGGGACAGAATTTAAAGCTGTGTTATGCTTGTTCCTGGATTTGTTCTCAAGGAAGGTTCAAAGAAAGCAGAGCCATATTTTTTTCCAGTGGTGTCTGGTGAAAGGATGAGAGGTTGTGAGCATGAACTGAGACACAGGCGATTACCTCAATCATCAGGAAATACTTCTTCCCTCTGTGGCTTACTGAGCACTGCCACAGGTTGTCCAGGGAAGTCTTTATCCTTGGAGATATTCAGGAGCTGCCTACACAGCTTCTGCTTCTGCTCTTCACCTGAGCAGGGTGCTTAGACCAGATGACCTCCTTACTTCAGCCAGTATTTGGTTTTTTGAGAAGATTCTCCTCGAGCCTTTTATTTGTTGTCCTTCACTGAATTTTCTCCAACAAGTTCCTACTTCTTTTTCTGGAGAGCTCAGAACTGGACATGTTATTCCAGACGTGGCCTCATCAGTGCCCAGTAGAGAGAGGAAGGATCACGTTCCTCCTGACAGTGCTCCTAATGCAGCCCAGGATGCTGCTGCTGGCCTTTGTCATGAGGGTGCATTGGTGACTTAGGTCAGTTGTCCACTGCAATCTCCAGCCTGTCTCTGCAGTGCTGCCTTCCAGGGATGTATTCCAAGGGCAGTGGCCCACCTAGGCCTGTGTTTTCCCTGTTTTCTTACAAAGCAAACCTGTTGCTGTTAATAGAATTGTAGAATTACTTTTTGTTCCCCCTTCACATCCCTTGCCATATTTGGCTGATCTGAGAATAGAAACTAAAAATTAATTCAAAAGACATGAATTTCCAAGACCTGAGTTCAGGTTATTAAAGTCCACATCTGTGCAAATAGCTGTAGATGGTTCCTCTGTTTGTGTTTTTAAGGAGGCCAACTATGAGTCAAACCCAGCAAGTCTTATTAGCTTGAGTGCAGTATCAGGTTAATGTGGCCAGCCTGGACAAAGGCCAAGCAATATTTTCTCAATCCAGGTACTCATGCTTGAAGATGTAATGTCTGTAGCATGTGCTACAGGCCCATGCAGATGCTAGATTCTGCTTCTTTTTTGTATTTCTAATACCACTTCTAATAATTCATCTATTGGTTCTCTCAGTCCCAGCCACATATTTTGCATTTTTGACTTTAAGAAGCTGAGGCCGAATGCTCAGTTGGAAGATCAAATACATCCTCTTCAAGTATTTGGAGACAGTTAGAAAGAGGCGTTTTTGCATTTGGATGGCTGTTTTCTGAAATGCACCACTGCCAAGACAGCAGGTTTGGTTCCTCACTGGGGCATCGTGGGAGTGATGGTTTACAAAACTATAAATACTTAATTATTCTTTTAATGGATTCCAGACGTTTCTGGTCTCTAAATAAGTATCTCGTATTACCACTTTGGTGAGCAGTTGATGCTGTCAGGAGAAATCTCCCTAGCGGGAGCTGTAAACCTGTGCTATTCTGGAATTCTATTAGTCTTGCTAGGGCCAGCTGAGAAGTGAGCAAAGCACCAGGACTTGTTTTACTGACTGTTGTGTTGTTGCAGAATAATCCTGGCATTCTGCCTCTGCTTCTGGAGGAGTTGTATCCCCTTGAGCTCTTTGCAAGAGCCTGTCTGAGGCCTAGGCTCTTGATGCATGTCTTTTTGCTGCATTAACTGCTGCTTGAGCATTTTATTCCATCAGCTGAAGAGACTAAGCTCATGCTATGCAGTGTGAGAAACCAGGGCATGTCCGCAAATCCATGTTCCCAAACAGAGCAGACTGGTCACTTTTCATGCTTATTGCAAGTGACTGACTAACAGTCCTGGAGTGTACTGTGTAGGATGAAGGATGGGCTTATTTCTTTATTATTGGGTAGTTTATTTTCTTCGTTTTTATTTTGTTCTTTTTCACTTCTCTCTTCATTAAAAGTCTTGGTTCATGCATCCTGTCAGTACTCAAGAGATAAAAAGGAATGGCAAGAAAGACCTGTGTGTGACTGCTCTACCTTGGAGACCTTTCTACTGAATCAGCAGATCCATGAGCTCCTTAGAGCACAAAGCAGGTTAGTATTCACATGCTCTTTTCTGCTATTGATGCTCTCATGTCCATTGTCATGTTTTCTACTTCTGCAAAATCAGTTGACTGCTACAGAGAAGTAATGCACTGCTCCTGTCCAGTGTCAATATTTTCATACATTTAAGTGGCAATCTAAGAACAGAGATTTGCTTAGTAAGACAAGAGAGGTCAGGAATGAGTGGATCTGTGTAGCCAGCTTCAGGAGCCTGCTTCTAGTGAGGCAGAGACAACTTATCATATTAAAAGATTACATTTGATGGAGATAATTTTAATAATGTAAACTTGATCTTATAGCTAACGTAAGTTTGCCTATTTCAGCTTGCACTACTGGTGCTTCTGTAGTTGTACAAATTATTTTGCCACTTACAGGCATGGACAGTTCTGTGGCCTTTCTGTTCAGAGATGTCAAATGTCACATGTGACCTCTTTTTTATAGAATGCTAGAATGATGATTCTCCCTGTGCATTTTTTCTCTGATTGAAATTGCTTATGCTGTGACTAGTGTCTTCTGCCTCATGTCCATCTGATGTGGACCTTGTAAAGAGGTGTGTGACTCTGTCTTTAGCTCCCTTATGGGTTGTTGTAGAGAGGACAGCAATTGTATCCAACTCCTCACCTGCTGTTCTCAGGGCTGAGCAAGCCCAGCATTCTTATACTCTCCACGTGCTTTGTAATGCAAACCCCAGTCATCCTGGGGGCTCTCTGCTGCATTTGATTCATTATTTTGAAAGTGGGCCTTCTGCTTCACATATAGTCTTATAGGTGTGAATCGAGAGGAATGATTGCTTTTCTCAACCTGCTGCCTGCAGTCTTGCCAGTACAGCTCAGTGTACACCTGACCTTTGCTGTGGGCTTGGTCACTAGCACTTTGAGGTTGTCTTCTGCAACACAGTTGTACAGCCAGGTGCTACTCGTGCCTTTCCCATTCCAGGCATGGGCTTCTACCTTTCCTGAACTTCACTATGTTTCTCTCTATCTGTTTCTCTAGCCTGTTGTTATCCTCCTGGTTGGCAACTCTGTACTTTGATTTATGAAAGGCTCTTTCAAATTTGGTGAATTTAGTGAGGTGGAGTGCATCCCATCGTTTCAGTTAATAACAGATAATTTAATTTACTGCTCTCCCCAAAATGACAAGTTATATGTTGCTGGCTGGTACTGCTGCGTGCTTTTTGGTTCTTCACTTCCACTTGCTGGATTAGTTTGGCTCCTGAATTTCAAGGAAAGGAAAGAAGGTGTGCTAAGCAGCAGTCAGGGAATATATGTCCTCTCCAGACTATTCCTCTATGTTGAAGTCCTGTCCTGTATGTGACATGCAGAAGTCTCATCATCTCTCTAATGTGACACACTTGTATCTGTTTAGCAAACATAAAGGCTCAGTCCATTACTTCCACTACTTATTAGCAGAAAGCTGATTTTATGTTACAGGCCATGTTTGGCCTGTAGAGAAATTACTCCATTTAACAATCACCCTTCTTTTCAGTAAACTGAACGGGTCATAGTTCTGTAATATCATTGTTAAGAAAGATCAAGAATGAACTAGGAGAATGACTTGGCATCTGGTATAAAAAAGTATTTTTCAATCATACATGTAGAGCAGTGAAAGAATTTTCACGTGTCTTGACACCAACACATCTTCTGCTTTAATGTTCAGAGGCCCCAGCTGCTCCTGTTAATGTGACCATTTCTTTTTCCTGAGGTTTTACTTCGGCTTTTCTCTTCTGGCAAAGGAGACAAATTCCCTACAAGCGTGGTCACGAACTGCTGTAACATTAGAGATCAGCATAAGGGAGCTTATTCTTCATAGCAGTTTTCACTCGGGAACTGTATTCTGACTCTCCGTTTTGTTTTAGGCTCAAGATGCTGAGCCGTTTGTCAGGTTTAGCAAGTACTGTTTTACAAGAGCTGTCCGGGGAGGATGGAGATGCAGTTACTGAACCATCTATTGCTGTAAGTACAGTGTTGTCTTAAGACTTTCAGGTCTTATTGACAATTAGCTTGGGGAGTGTGGTTTATTAGACTGCTGTGAGAACTGTCTCCTGCTTCTTCCTTGATGAGCACTACACTGAGCTGTCATTCCACTCTGCTTTTTTTTCTACTCTTCACCTCTTAAGTCAGCATTTCTGTTGGGCAGACCAGAATCTCCTCAGTTTCCACATCTCAAGGTGATCCTAGGAAACAAACTAGAATTAGGGTGAAGAAAGACTTCTAAGAATTCTAGTGATTGTGTGTAGCAGAAGCTCTGCTTGGGTGGGTGACAGTGGGAGGCTTCGTCTCTGTGCTGCCCTTTGGTATTGAGACACTGGATAGTGTGTAAGGGTGCCTCTCGTTTCAGATTCATTCATGTGTTCAGCAAGGTACTCTTTGTTTTTTGTGTGTTGGCTTGCAAGTTCGCTGAGCTTTCGTCCTGTTTTCATCTAACTGTGTATTTCTGCAGGCTCCATGAAATGCCTGCAAGGAGCAGAGTGCAGCTTTGAGGACTGGAGCTGAAAATAGCATGCAGATGCTTTGCTGCAGGCTGTTTATATTTTTTTTTTTCCTTCAGAACACTCATTTTGTTGTTTCAGGTAGAAACTTTGCAGTCAGAAACAGAAAGCATGGAGGAGGCACCTGAGGAGCTGTTGGAGCGCCTAGCCCAAACAGAAAAGCTGGTTGTTCAGCTGAAGGATTTGATTCGAGAAAAGGATGCCCTGCTCCAGGAAAAAGAAACTGTATTCAAGGTACCATTTCTTTCTACTGGGACCAAGAGTAAAATACTGCTTCAGTTTTCTGTGCAAGCCAGTCTCTGGTTTCTTTCGAACATGAGATACCTGCATGATGAATAGCATCAGTTCCAGAAAATTATTGGAATTTGAAGAACAGATCCTAACCCTAGAGATGCAGGATATTTTCTGTTAGTAAGATTGGGTTAATTTAGCAGAGATAAGTTACGTACAAGTTACACAGCGTTTTGTCTCAGAGCTCTTTGAGGCCCATGCAGATTCCCAGTGGCTCTAATAAATACTAATACCTTGTGTGAAACTGTTCTTTCCCCACATCAGGTGTTTGACACAGAGCAGCCTGTACTGCTCTCATCCACTAGTCCAGAGGTTTTATGACACATTCCCAAAGGTACATTGCCTACCCTGAGGTATGGTGGGAATGCGGTTACATGAGATGGTTAGACTCCCTCTGCTATATGCAGTCCCTCAGAACTGAGTTTGTGTTCACTGCTGGGTGAAGTCCCTGAGTGCTCTGTCCCTTGAAAGGAAGTGCTGGGGTAGCAGCTACAGTTTTGGTATGTGTAGTCTTTCAGAACAAATTTGGTTTGCAGATGTGTTTTAAATAGTGCTCTTACTGGGGAGGCAGGGTTAAACAGAATATGGCAGACTGACAAGCTGTGTAGCTTTTTCGAAGTGGTGCTTCTTGGGTAATAGCACTGGAGTCTGAGGCGCAGTCAGTTTGTGTCCTTCTCTTACAGGAAGAGCGAGAGGCCATGGATGCGAAGCTGATGAAACTTAAGCTTCAAGCCAAAGCCAAACTGGCGTCTCTGAACAAACGCATCGAGGAGCTGACACAGAAAGGATCACCACTGCCTATGCAGGCCTTAGCAGATGAGCTGGAGTATCCCAAGGTTGGGAGAACGGGGCTGCTAAAAAGATGTAGCTTCTATTGATAACCTAGTACTGTCTGATGTTTCAGGTCACAGTGAGCCAGCAAGGCCTATTTGTCTTATTAGCAGGATGTTCACAGTTCCAGCAAGGATGTCTGTCTGTGCTGTAGGAAGCCTATCTGTCCAGCTTCCTTGTACTGCAAATGCCCTTTGAGTGCTCAACTTGATCTCCTCAAGGGCAGGGGCTAGTTTCCCTTTGCATAACTTTGGTAATCCATTGTAGCCAAACTCTTTCCTGCAGAAACTGTGTGTCTGAGCTATGAGTTTCAAAATGTTACCTGTCTTGTCAGTACAGGAAAGGTTGGCCGGAGTACTAGAACAAAGAGGTAAGGAGATCATTGAAACTAGAAGGCAGTAACTTAAATATTAAAAAAAAAAAAATATTTTCCAGTCATGTTGCTTCCTGAGCCATCATAAAGTTTTATGCTGGGTAAAAACTGAGAGAAAAGTGTTCTCTATAAAGACCTTAAAGAGGCTGTTAGCTACTAACTAGAAGTTCCCATTGGAGCTGGTAGTTTTTGAAAACTTGAGTATGTGATCAGCAGAACAATGTTTTCTTTAAAAAGTTGGTAATATTATGGAAGAGAAGTGGGATATAAGTCCAGAATGGTTTCCAGGCATCAGATAATGTTCATTAAGCCAGAGAACATAAACGTTATTTCAGACATTGAAAAGATACTAAAATATTACAGGAAACAATAAAAGGTGCATGTGAGAGCTGTCAGATGAGAGGCCACTACTAATGATGTGAAGATCAGTTCTATGACTTGTTTTTGATTGAGAGCGTCATAGAAATGTGCTTCTGTAATTCCCAAAACCAACTTGAGAATCTTTCTCAGTGAACAGCACCCTCTGGTTTCATATATGGAGAATTGGATGGTCTCAAGGACTGACATAATAGAGAAATATAGCAAAATTTACCTAGTGCACAGTCAAGCATTTCTGGTGTTGTGACACCATATACTGCGAGGCCATAAACAGCATTCCTTGGCTGCAGAGGCCAGTGGAGACCACAGAGGCTGTTGAACTGTGTCACTTGACATTGCTGTCCTGATGCTGAGGCTCCTTCTTAGCTAAACTGTATGCAGCGAGTGTGTAACATCCGTGTGCTGTTACATGACTTTGTGTACACTTACTGTTGAGGACTGGTGAGTATTCTTGCTTCAAAATTCAAATTTGTCAGTTGAAGAAGGCAAAATTAAAAAAGCTGATCATCAGTTTATTGGTGCAATATAGATTTTAGAAGCCTTATCTTTTTTATATACCATTCTTCCTATTCTACTGAGAGTGACAAGGCCTCGTGTGGAGTGTTGTCATGTTCTACTCACTTGGAATCAGGAAAGATAAATTCTGAGAGCAGCAAGAGTCTTTCTGTTCTCACATCATGTTAGTAGCTGCACTTGGGAGGCACTCAAACAGCTTGGTTATTTAGTCAACCAAAGTCAGAGAGGAAATGTCATTTCTTTCTACAATTGTATGAGGAAGGTGAGCAAGAAAGTAGGAGAGCTGTTAAAGGATAATGCAGGTGAATGGATGAATGTAAATTAGCCATTAAGAAAAATGGCCTTCTAATTAGAAGAGTGAGGGCTTGAGACAATCTCTGGTGGACATGATATGGACCACAGCCTTATTTGGTTTGGGTTAGAACACAGTTTGAGTGAAATTACGTTGGGGCAGTTACCTGCAGTATTATGAATTTGACCCAGAAAGCACTAGCTTCTTTCTTGCAAGGTTAGACCTACTGAGAAGATACAGGGTCCTTTATCTATACTTACTTCTCCACGTAGATGCTGTCTGGAGTAATGGGGGTATTTCCTAGACAGTAACCTGCCATTTGAAGGTGAAAATTCTAGGTTAGAGTTGCATGTTGTGCTGAAGTATTGAATATTAGCAAAAGGCTGCGTTTTTTCCTCCCTATGATGTGGGCCCTGTGCAAAGGCTGTATTTTAAATATCTGATTAGTGCTATTACATCCTGGACTTTTAGCAGATTGTTATTTTGAGAAGAATGGAAATACCATGGAATATGGAAATATTCTGTCATAGTATTTGTGTACAGAACAATTGAGGCTCCTCTCAAACTTTTGAAGTGTGTAAAGGTAAATTTTGTTCAGTTATAAGAGCCTATACATTTTGGAAAAATACAATATTTAAAAGCTTGAGCTCTGGGAACTTTGTGGCTGCTACTGTCCTCAATTGTGGCCCTCCTTGTAATGATCAGTGTAAGAGGCTTTTCCCAATCCAACTGTAAATATCAATCCTGAAAGCTAATTACAAGTAAGCAAGCTAATCCACCCATCTTCCCCCCTTGCAACTCCTCTGCCTCAATCTTATAAGTTATGTATATCCCTGGCTTCTTAGAGCTTCCTGTATTTCTGTTCTTTATTTTTCTGTCCTATTCTATTTCTAAATTTAAGTGCAATTGAAGCTTCCTTGTCTGTCTGTTCTGCCTTCTGCCAATGACCTTATCTATAGGTGTAACATCTTTTGAGGAACAAGTAGCCTCTTATTCTTATTACACTGATTTATAAGTGCTTTTAAAAGCTCTCATAATATTTTCAGAATGGGTTTAAAGATGCAAATACTCTGTAGGATTCCTGTGTTATTGATGGTATTTGACCCAATACCTGCCACAAATAAAATGGGAGAGATGCATTTTATATATATTCAGTACAAAATACCCAGCACTGAGTGCTCACAGTAGCTGGAAGTGCTGAGATGAGAATGTAGAGCATATTTGTCTGCCCAGGGACAGGTGGCAAGGGACCTTCCCCTCACCCAGCTGGGGAGACAGAGAGAAGAGTGCAGGTGTAGTGTGCTGGGTTGTCTAAGTAGACACAGCCTAAGCATTTTTTATGTGAAATGTTTGCATTTCTTGGTTATGAGCAGAGGATTTAAGTGCTTCAGAGTGGAGCAGAAGTGATAATTGTTTTCCTGTTCCCTTTGCTTGTATCTAATAAGTTGATTGCTATTAATCCTGTAAAGAGATTTCTTTGGGCATTTTCTATAGTCTAGAATGTCTACCCCTTTGTCACATGGAGAATATTCTTCTATAGCCAATTTAGAAATGTTTTTATTTCTGGTATTAGAGAAATTAGTGACGCTAAAAAGCCTCACAAATCAGGGTAGTCATATAATAAATAATGTATTTAATAATCTAATTTGCCTTAGTTTATGTAGTGAGCAGTCATGGACTGTTAGCCCTTCCAAGTGGTTTGATGCTTCCCAGTTAAAGACATCTTGTGCATATTTACACAGAAATAGGGAAAATATTTACTTAACATAGGGCAACTTCATTTAAAGAAACAAAAGGAATGTAAAGTCAAGAAATGAAGCAATGTAGTAAAAATAAGCATCTGATTAGGAATCAAGAGTAAAGTAGCATTTTAGTGTATTTTTTAAATTAATAAATTAGTTTAATTTATTAACCAGTTACACTTAAAAGTTTACTTTCTTCTGTTTCTCTTCTTCCCACTTTTTTCCTCTTGCAATGTCAGAAAAATGAAAATACAAGTGAAGGGCACAGAGAGGAAGTGGAAGTACTGAAAGAGCAGCTCAGGGAGCAAGAGGAGACTGTTCAGGACCTGAAGAAACAGCTGGCTGTAGCCAGAGTGAATCTGAAAGATGCTGAAATCAAGTATGCAACACAGGTACAAAATTTATTTTTTCTATCCATCAGTCTGTGTTTCCTACCTTACTGCTTAGACTAGTATGATGGAACAGAACAATGTTTACACAGCTGGTCTCTCCAATTCCTTTACCTCAATTTTTTCAGTTTTGTTCCTCCTCAAATCACCTAGGTCCATCAATGTCACTGCCTTTGGCTCCTCCTCTAAACTTTATGTGAGTCTTTCATCATCCCAAAATAATCTTCTCCTGCCCCCCATCCTCTACCCCCAGGCCAGAAGCACCCTTGGTGCAAAAGGTGCTCTGCAGGCAAGAGATGGGTTTCACCCCTGGACAATGAGACTGATGGCTCTCTGAGGAGGGGGCATCCAATCGCTGGAAGGGCTTAGTTAGGGTGTCCCTTCCTCTGGGTCGGAATTTGGGTTCTTCCCTGGCTGCCCTTGCTGTTCTGGGATGGGCTTTGCAGTAGCTGAGGCAGGGTGTTCTTCCAGCTTCCAGGCGTGCCATGGCCTGTCTGTGTTCTGCTGTGGATGTGCAGGGCAGCTGCTTATCACAGAATGTAACAGCTTTAATGCTACATTGTAGTTATTTGTGGAAAGATTTTTTTAATACTCTAAATTGCCGTTTTTAGCTTTTGGAGTGTGAATTGGGCTGCATCCTATACAATTAAAAGCCTAGAAGTTTTATGAACTGTTAGTTATATAGTTATCATATATTTTATTATTCTGCTTATTTGTAGATTAAATGCTTTTTGCTTTCTGGGATCTGAAATCTTATCAGTTGCTATGCACACATTAGTAGGATAAAGACACCAGGTAAAAATACCATTTGACTAAGACGTATAGGATTGTCAAGCTGAAAACTCCATCACACACACAATATGCTGATGCATGTTGAAAGCAAGCCTGTGTGTCTGTCAGGCTAATAACCTTGTTGGTTTGTTTTTATTTTGTGGCTTATGTTTTCAGCTGAGTTCCCTGCAGGAAGTGATTCAGGAGAAGGAAGCTCTCCTGGAAGAGCATGTGCACCAGCATCAATCTGAATTGCTCAAGATGGCAGTCCAGTCAGATATGGAAGTAGAGATGCAACAGGTATATTGATATAATAATCATATCATGGGATGAGGAAGGAAAAGGACTTTTACCAGAAGACACCCTGAAAGAGTCAATTCTCATTAAAGTAGCTCAGAAGGGATAAGAAGAAAGATGCTTTGGTTGTTTGGAGTTTTTTGGAGTACTAGTTGACACTTAGCTTCAATCTGCTGGTTTGCTATCAGTCGAAGAGAAAGAACAGTTGAAAAAGGTTTATATTACTGTGCTCCATTTCCCTATTCATGAAGCCAAATAAGCTCCTCCTGCTGCACTAGGGCTCCAGAATAGGTGTCAAGAAAAATGAATTAATGCAGGCTATCAAAGTAACTGTGTTACAAAAACGAGGTGTATTGATGAACCCTGGGAATCTAAACTTCTGTTGGTCTCCCCAATGCTGGAATGGCCCTGTCTCTCTCACAGAACCTGCGCACACTCCAGAGGAAGCTCGAGGAGCAGGAAGCAGCTCTGTTAGGACGAACTCAGGTGGTAGAACTGCTGCAGCAGGAGTTACACGCTGCTGAAAAACAAAACCAGGTACCTGGTCTTGCTTTTTATTTCTTTACTCTGTGTGTATGGTAGATGGGGCCTTTGTCAGTAGCTCAGAAGTTACCAGATTAGGGTTTTTTTTGCACCAGCTTTCCACCATGAAACCAGCTGAGGCTGCCCTCCCTGGGTCAGGCGTTAGAGCTGAAGGTCTGTGTGCACAGTTTACAGCTGGTACAGCCAGACAGTGGGGTGCTGCAGCTGCCAGCTCTAGTGATCCAGGTTCTGGACCCGTGGACAGGGTCTACATCTGTCCGTGCCCATACTGCTGACTGTACTTTCAAAGCCAAATGCACAAACCTTTGCCAAATGCAGAAATGCCTAACGCAGTGCTGCTGAAGCATCAGTGGTTTTGGACTGCAGTGTCCAGGCTAGATCAGAGAGAAGCAGCTGTTATTTGGTACGTCTTGCTGGCATATGTGTATATGGTGACACAACTTGTGGAGTGGGATTGGCTCTCACTTCATCAGTTTGGAGTGTGAAGAGGATGAGATCAAGTCTGTGCATATATGACTGTATAGACATGTGCTCCGTGAGACAGAATTAAGAACATAACCTCTTAAAAGGTTGGTTTGCAGATAGAGGATGAGTGTATTTTTCGTTTTTCCGATATCTGAGCTTTTGAAAATTCTCCATCCCTTTAGAAGAGACTTACACTGAATCAGTCTCATATTTGTAGGCTGCATGATCTCCAGCCAGTCTAATGCTGAACCTCACTTTGATGATTTTTACACACTTGTGCCCCACATATTTTCTTTTGCTCTGTGTCCCAGCCAGGCACAATGATGGGTCCTCTTACTACTCTGGAGAGGTAAAGAACCTCCGTGAGCTGACTTGTTCTCACTACTGACTGCATTGCTCAGCAGGGTGTATCATGGGGTGGTGGCATGGATATCTTCATGACATGGTTGTTGGCCTCCCTGGGCCTCTCCTCGGTGTCTTTGACTTCCCTCATACATTCTGTGGTCTGAAGGAGACCTGATATAGGTACAAACCCGAGGCCATGTGGCTGAAACCTACCCATAAAGTAAATGGAGTTGTTTATCAGATTTCTCCTGGTATTAGCTATGCTGACCATCCACAGCTCCAGGAGGAAGAAGTTTGACAGCAGGAGTTTGGGCAAGTATGAGGTCTGTTTCTGTCTCTTGGTCACCTTAAATCTCTGTTTGACCAGAGCCTTCTGACATCTTTCTTAAAGCAGTGGATCCTCTGTGGTGCTCTGTTATCTCCAGATTCATATTTCAGCATTCCCCTTTCACATACACACTTTTGCTCTGTTATTTTTAAATTCTACCCTGTAATTGTTGAGTTCTCCCTCATTTGTTGTAGCTCTTCCTCCCGTTTTTGGGACGTTTGCTGTCTTCTAAAAGAGAATTCCTGGCCACTGTTCTAGTGCTTCTTTCCTCTAAATTCCCCTCTTCTAAATAATGTCTTCCCTTTTTTTTTTACCACAACAATGAAGAGTTGCTTCTCTCAGCATTGCTTTCTTGCAACTTCCAAATAGTGGGGCAGTTTCTTTCTAACAAATTGAGATTTCTGACACGTTTGTTTCCTCCCTTCTGCTACTCAGGTATTTTAAAAGGATTTAATGAAAACCTTAAAGTATAATTCAGATACTTTTCTTTGTCAAGGTATTTAACTAGTTGAGAGAGAAATTAATTTCCCTATCATTTTACAGACACTCCTAAATCAGTGCCAGAAGATGGAAGTGGAACTAAGCTCCACGAGGGATGTGCTAGATGCAGAGAGACGAGGCTCTCAGGATCTCAGGGAGAGGATGGAGCTGGAACTTGCTGAGAGGAAGCTGTCTTCCCATCGCTTGCAGGAGGAGGTGCAGCATCTCTCAGAAGAGCTGGAGAAAGCAAGAAGAGCACAAGCTGAACTAGAGGTGAAGTATAAAGACCTGGAAGAGCAGCACAGGCTGGAGGTAGAAGAGAAAAACCGGCTGCTCAGTTGTCTCATGGTGGCTGAACAAGAGCTGCAATGTGGCCGTGCTGTCCTTGGAGCTGAGAAGGACCAGCTGGAGCAGGACGTTGGCCAGCCCCTGGCTCCATCTGTGGAGCATGGAGCTGCAGCACACGGACCATTGGGTGAGCAAGCATGGCAGTTAGGTAGAGCAGGTTCTCGGGGGCCTGAGTATCACTGGGTTGCCTTCTTTTTGGCTTTGTTTTTATAACTGCCCCTTAGAATGGCTTGATGTAACAATTCGTAATCGCACAGGGACGAAGGAGGGTAGGAGTGGTGGTGCTGCCTCAAACTAAGAGGGTCTAGTTCAATCCCACTGTTTTGTCTTTGGCAGCTGCAAGAGGACCAGTAGTGTGGGGCAGCATATATGGTGCTTTGCTTGTGTACTGTCCCACCCTCTTGTCTTTTGGGGCTTATGGATTTCTTGAGCTGGATGTGTTTTTTAGTTGATTTTATTGATTTTTTTTTGGATGCTTTCCAACAACTTGTGAGAGTCCTTTTTAGATTTGCCATGTTCTTCAGTCTGAATTTCTATTGAAGTTATAAGTAAAACAACCAAGAAAAGCAAACTGTACCATTTTCTTCATAGACCTGTGTTAGAAATAATGACATTGATCTTGCCTCAAGCTCTTATTTTAAATTGATTTTCTTCCATCTTCTTTATGGCCCAAAGCTGAAGCAGTGACTAAGAGATAAGGGACTCCGTAAACTATTGTGCATGTGTGTAAAATGGACGTAGTTTGGCAAAAAAGACAAGAACAGACCTTGAGTCCCCTTTTTCCCCTCTGTCAGATGGACTTCTACAGAAACCTGAAGAATTTGTACTCTGTCAGGATGAGCCGAAATCCCAGCCACAAGTGCAGCTCTCTGAACTGGAGCAGCAGGTTTGATATTTTCAAATGATTCTCATTAATTTTTCTGGTATATTTAGGAACTGAAGCCAAATTAAATGTTTTATCATGCATTGCTTGAGAAAGACTTTTGTTAGTTCTCTCAGCTGATGGGCAGGCATGTTATTACTACAGAAGCCTGGAAAGAAGTAGAAGTCAATTTGAGTAATTTAAGTTGCCAATTGATTTTTTTTTTTTTTTTAAGGTTAACCAAATGATCAAAGATTAATATGCATTTATAAATGGCATTAAAGTTTATCTTTCTCCCCTCCATCCTGTTTAAACAGGATGAATCAACTTCAAAGGAAGAAAAAGTAGATCAGGAAGACCAGAATGAGACTTCATTCCTACCCATAGAAAACTTGGAAAGACGGAAGACAGAAGGTCGTATGATTACCTTACATATTTTAATATTCTTAATGTACTTAAGAATCATTCTAGAATTAGTTTTTACAAAATAAGATATAGCCGAAGTGGTAGCTTTCCCCAGTACGAAATGATGACAGTCTGCAGGTGGTATTTCTGGGGAGGTATTTTTGATAGCTTTTGCTGAAACAGTAAGGGACCCATATATATGCCACATATAAGAAACCCCAGACAATTACATTGGTTTTGAATGTCTGGTCACGTAGACTGGTTGCAGCAGTGTCACAGCTCTATCAGAACTATACCATAAAACAATGGACTTCTTCATGTGTTTACTTTAGGGTCTGGTGCACTCTGACAGTGGGCTGTATTGATTTTTGAGAAATAGATTCATTTTGCTTCCTATCATTCAAAGATAGAACCTCCTTTGTGAGAATCCTGGTGAGGGAATAAACACCAATAAACGAGATTCCTACAGTCCTAGAACATAATCTTTCTTCTTTTTTTTGTTCCAAGATCTCAGAGATGCAGGTCTTTAATGAACTTCAAGACATTATTTAGAATCACAGCATGGTTTGGGTTGGAAGGAACTCATAAAGATCTGGTCCATCCCCCCGGCCCTGAGCAGGGACGTGCTTCACCAGGTCAGGTTGCTCAGAGCCCCATCCAACTTGACCTTGAACATGCCCAATGATGAGGCAGCTGACAGCTTCTCCAGGCAATCCAGAGAGAAGCAGCCCTCTTGAAGGGCTGCAGTAAGGCCTCTCTGAAGCCTTTCTTCTCCAGGCTAAACACCCACAAGTCTCTCAGCCTTTCTTCATGGGAGATAGGTTCCAGCCCTCTGATAGTTCTTGTGGTTTCTTCTGGACTCACTCCAGCAGATCCAATTTGTGTTGTACAGGGGAGCCCCAGAACTGGGCAAAGTGCTCTGAGTGGGGTCTCACAAAAGCAGAGAAGAGGGTGAGAATTATCTCCCTCAACCTGCTGCCCACACCTCTTTTGGTGCAGCCCAGGAAATTATTTGCTTTCTGGGCTGCAGGCACACATTGCCAGCTCCTGTCCAATTTTCAGTTTACCAGAATCCCAAAGTCTTCCCCTGTAGCCTGTTTTCAGTCCATTCACCCTGCAGTCTGTGCTGGTACTGGGGATTGCCACAGCCCAGGTCTAGGGCCTTGCATTTGGCCTTGTTAACCCTTGCTCTGTACAAGGACCACGTGGCTGCATTCCTCAAGCTTGTCCATGTCCCTGTGGATGGCATGGCATTCTCCCAGCAGAATCAGCTGCTCAGCCTGGTGTCACCCACAGGTGTGCCATTCCAGCTGGCTCTGTCACCAGTTGGGACACTAAGTAGTACTGCAGGTCCCAGTATGGACTTCTGCAGGACCTGGTTCCCACTTGGATGTGGAGCCATTGACTCGACTCTTTGCACACAGCCAGTTCCTTGGCCCACTTAACAGCCCACCTGTCAAACCCATATCTTGGCAATTTAGTAGCAAGGATGTTGGGGAGACCATATCAAAGGCCTTACAGAAATCCAGCTTTAAATCTGATACCATGCCCCAAGGTACAATTAAGAACATCCAAAATGCACCTGGAAAACTTTTAAGCAGCTTTTTAAAAAGCATCTCCACCCTCTACTGAAAGGAATTCCACCTGAAAAGTGCAGTGACTCAGAGCTTCGCTGTCATGTTACTTAAAACATCTTTCCCAGTCCCTGTTTAGTTGCATGTTTACTTCAAAACAAGCTTTTGTTGTAATTCTGTTTCCAATGGCTATGTTGAACACTTGGTTATTGCCTTTTTTTCTAGATCTTAAACACTGGGAGATGTAATTTCTTTTTCACAACTATCAAAATATTAAATGAAACATAAAAAATCTTTTAAGTCTGCTATATCGGTTCTAAATACTTTGTTAGTCCTTTTTGTGCTGTGAATTTGTCAGTCTTTATTAAAGTGGGATGCCTAAAACTGCCCACTGTAATCCATTCCTAACTTGGATAGAATGAAATAAGGATTTATAGTTACCTTATATTTTGCAATTTCTGATGCTTTTCAAGCAGACCTCAACAAATGCCTTCAAATTTCAAGCTGTGGTTGTTTGAAATAAAAAGATTCTTGAAATCCTTGTACAGTCTTCATTTCCATGGGTTTAGCAGTGAAATAAATGAGAGTATCTGTAACTCTTTACATCCACATGAATTCCTTGAGCTTTTCTTGAGGCAGCTCTTTGACTGATTGAAGGTCTCTCCTCCTGCCATGTAAGCGAACATTGTATGAGGCTTCCCATAGTTCAGTTAGTGGAAAGACTACTGGATAGTATGAATCAATAAAGGAAAGCTATTATCACAGGAAACACAGGCTCCCTTCCAATTGTTAGAATTCACAAAACATTCATTTGAGCTCCCTCAGCTTCCACAATACTTAGCAAATGCAGTTTTGTATAATCAATTGTATGTATAAAAGTATTCAAAGGACTACAGAAGAAAACCTTGTACTGTATGTTGATGGTACGTGTGTCCTCTCTTCATGCTCAGAAGTGGAAAGTACAGAAAATTCGTACCCCTAAGAGAACTGTTTAACTTCGTCCTGAGTTTTATTTTGCAGATATATATTAACATATTTTTCATACCATCATCGCTAGTTCATGTGTTCACAAAAATGGGGCCTTTTTAATGCTTCTAAGTTGGTATTTCTGGGGAAGACGCAGTATTGCGTTGCTTTACAGGGTCCTATATTAAAAAGCTGAGGCATCACCTAATGCATTAATTAGAACTGAGATGAATTGCAGGATGTCTTTTTCTTGTACATTTATAACAATTTCTCACTTTATTTTTTCCAAATGAAATTTGAAACATTTTGCTGCAATAGTTCTTTCTTTCCTCTCCTGTATAAAAATGTTTCTTGAAACTTAAATCTCTATTACTTGTCTTTCAGTATGTCTGTATGACAACAATTTTTCTTTTCTAAAAGCTGCTTAAAACAGCATGTTGGTTGTGTGATTGCTGTTAAAAAATCCCAAATCCACATTGTCCCACAACAGTGTTAATAACTGTCCACTCCACTACATGTTATTAACAGCCATGTGTCCTTTGTTGAAAGCTCCTGGAAGAATATCCTGTTGCTGTCTAAAGCAAAGTCTTAAATTTCAAAGACATTTTTTGTGTTTGTTTCAGAAATACCATATTTGCAACCTAGTCTCCAGGAATCTCAGCAGGAAGCTGTGATGGTCACAGAAGATGCAGAACAGGTAATCATTAGGCAGCTGAAATAAGCTAAAACTAAAATAGGTCAAGGACTGGCCTTGAAACAGCTAAGCTGTCATGGTCTTTTTTTATCAATCCTCTTTGGAAGGTTATAATTAACTGGATTAACGGTGTAAGACAGAAATAGCTTCCAAATACAGCTTGCACTATGTGTTCATAACAGACTGTGTTTCCCTTTGCCGGCTGTGTGGATTTCTTGTGTCCTTCATTCACCCAGTCCACATTTGTGCTGTTTTCTGCCTGTTGTGAGTTAGTTTTTCAGCAGAACTATGGGCTGATCTGAGACAAGTCTCTGGAAGAAAAATTCTAAAGGCTTAGCTATCATTATTAAGATGCCTTTCAAACCAGCCCTGTCCATTCCCACTGCCCTGATGGGCACCTGCCTGACTGACTGGGGGGAGCTGTGTGCTCCTTGAGTGGGATACAGGTGGGCACAGTCCTTCCCTGTGCTACTGCACTGTGTCCAGCTGCAGGTGCAAGTGCAGTCAGGCTATTGCTGGGAAGAATGCATGAATAGGAACCTGCTGCTTGGCTTTATGCTCAGCAAGGGAAGGGAGATGACAGCCTCTGTGTATCTGTACTCAGGATTTGCTATGGAACTGATTGTTAGCTTAGACCAAGGTCTGCCTCTTTGCAGCCTGCTCTGCTGGCCCATCCTGTCCACAGGGGAAAGGTTAATGCTGTGTTTTATCTAATACATTCCTCTCTATAAGAGAGTTTTTATATTACTGTGAAGTTTTAAGGTAAAAGTTGATACTTGGAACCAGAAACATTTTGAGTTATTCATCCTGCTTGACTCAGACTCCTACCTTGCAGCTGCCTGCAGTCAAGCTATGGGCTGGTACATCAGTGGGAATACACACACACCCACGTAGTCTTTTCAAGGGCAGATATAAGCATTTGAACTATTTTCTACTGCCCCTTTATAGACAGTAGAAGAAACAGGTTCTTTGGCATATGACTCACCTGGAACAAAATGAGTCAATTAAAACAACCCTGGAATTGTCCATTTCAATGTCCTAATTATAAAAAGTCCAACTAAATAGCTTACATCTAAGTTTTCACACTTGGACAGCTATTCCTACCATTTGTGCACTTGACCCATGGCTTTAGGCCAAGTAATGTAGTTACCCAAACCCAGGTTCAGGCGTCTAGCAGTTGAAAGGTTCTTATGAGGTTACTGGTTTGTTTGTGTGGTAGAGCCTAGCATGATTTTATTGGCAAGACTCCAGGTTCTTTATGTGCTGGAGCAGTGAGGCATAGACTGACAGACACATGAGTTCTCACTTACTCTACTTGGGTGGTGAGTGAAAGGTTATGATACTGTAGTTACTCCCTTTGTAGTAGTGAAGATGGAAGAGAAATCATCTCAAGGTGGGAAGGAAGTTACTTAAATCATTGCATCATTGATGTGTTAATCTGATGAGATATGTCTTAGTCTATTGCTTAACATCAAAACCAATCTCTCAATCCCTCTTTTTTATTACTTATTTATTTGCTTGTTTGTTTATTTTCCTTAGAGTTCAGAGTTGTGTCCAAACTTGGGACCAATAGGTTTTACTTAGAGCTTGGCAGAGCAATAGACAGCTAAGAGAGCTGTCTTCTCGTACCAGGATCCTGGCTCAAAGCTCAGTGTTTTTTCTTCAACCCACAGAATAAGAATATTGGTGCTGATGCAGAATTGCAAGACTCTGTGGAAGCTCCAGCCTCTTATGTAGACTGGTCTTCTTCTACAGGTGAGAACACAGAATAAGGCATGTGACAAGAAAATTGTGGAAATCTGAGAATTTTCAGGGGCAAATCTTAAGATGATTTAGAAAGAGGAGCTCTGAGGTGAGAATCTAAAGATGATAATCTACAGAAGGCAGAAAATATTTACATGAGGTAGAAGAGAACATTCTAATGTGGGATGAGTAGGATATACCAGAAGAGAAAAAAAAAGTGGTTGCTAAGGTTAGAAAGAGAGAAGGGTTTGAAGGAATGTCTTTGTAGATGCAAAGACTGATGCATAAGGCACAGAAGGGAATTAAGATAAAATGAAGAACTGTGTGTTTTTCTGCGAGCCAGTAAATTTCTTTTTGTGTCTGGAATTAGTTTTCCGCCATATCCCATACGAAAAAAACCAAGAAGCAGTCACACCAGTCTATTACCTGGCTGTCTTGTCTCTTTGCTCTTCATCCTTCTGTGGGGGTCAGAGGTGCTGTGTGCAGGTGATGCCAGCATGCAACAAAGACAGGGAGTTGCACAGAGCTGGGATTGCAGCTGCAGGGTCTGAATTGCTGGCTGG